GATGTGCCCCAGCCATCTAAGACGATGATATGAAATTATTTTTTCTCAAAGGAGGACTATCTGGTCCTAGCGCTGGTCGTGTGACTTCATCGTTATTCACGCAATGCTGCCACCATACGCGGGCGATGTTGAGGAGACAGCGGTTGTCGAAGACTGATAGTCACTGGACGTAATCTGCTCGGAGAGGCCAGGTCTCGCACCCATAGAGCAACACGGTGCGTACCGTTGCGCAATAAACATTTCCTCTCAGGGTAAGGGATATGTCACGTCGGCTCCAGAGATGCCGCAGAGTAGCAAACGCTAATCTAGCTTTGATCACACGTTGTGAGATCTCCTCACCCACACATCTGCCAGCCGTTATGCAACTCTCAAGGTAGACAAACGGTTCTACAATTCTTGAATCGTTGGTGCTTTGTCACCCTGTAAGGCAATATCATCGGCATACTCTAAGTCTACTACTCTGTCCCCAGGAAGAAGCTCCACGCTAGCGTTCGTTACGTTATGCAACGCGTTTTGTAGGACATCATCCATGGCAAAGTTGAAGAGAAACGGAGAGATAGGGCAAACGTGTCGCACCCCACTGGTGACAGGAAGTGGTGGGAATTCACCATAGGCCCTAAACTTCCCTAAGGTCTGGTAATAGAGTGCTTGTAGGATTGAGACATACTTCTTGAGTACTCCGTATCTCCGCAAACAGTTCCATAGAGCGGGGCGGTCGATAGAGTCGAAAGACACTCTGATGTCTAAAAACACGACAATGGTTTGTCGTCTGTATGCGTGTCGGTGTTCTACAAGTTCAATATTGATTGAGCACTTTGAGCATCGGTATTTTTTAGCCTCATTGCCCTTGAATATTTCTCATTTCCCTTCTTGTTCGTCCTTGCCTTAGGATGCTTCTGCTCGGCGTGGAGAATTGGCCAAACAGTTGCTTGATTTTGTCCGGCGTGCGGAACATGAATTGGCCTGGTTGAGGGAACAAGAATCGCGTGAGGTGAATCGTGACTGGAGCCGATCAGATTGCCTCGATACGGATGAAATTCGCACTTTTGCACAAGTTAGTGACGCTCTATTGCTATTGTTGTTGTTGTTGTTGTTGTTGTTGTTGTTGTTGTTGTTGTTATTGACTTGCCATAGCCTCTGAGTTCGTCATCATTGTTTTTGATGGTCCAAAAGTTTATTTGAGTCATCGGCACGCGACGTTTTGAACTATTGGGGGTTCGAATCCTGCCATTGTCGGTTAACCGTAGTGACACTTATGTTTGCTTTCAACTGACTTGTTGCCATGCTTATCTTTGTAGGATCTTATGTTCATCTTAGATTAATGTTTTTACTTGCTCATCGACTGAACCTCTTTATCATTAACCGATACTTTGTCAGATCATGTCTAAATCCGCTAACGACCGCCTCGTTATCTACTATTTTCCCTGATTCGTGTTTGTTTACAAATCACACTCCTTCCACTGCACTGCTAAGGTTATTGTACCGTGATTTGTTTGTCACCCTCTGGAATACGATATGTGTGTGTGTGTGTGTGTGTGTGTGTGTGTGTGTGTGTGTGTGTGTGTGTGAAATATACACTTCATGCTTGCGANGCTTGCGATACATGTGCACAAGTGAGTTGAAAGTGTGATGCAGACTGTAAGAATGGCAACCGCCTCTGAGTACCACATGTAATAGTGAGACTTTCGTTATTTTGTTTGGAATTTCAGAATTTAGCTATAGTCGCAGTTTCCGTTTTTTATTGGATATGGAATTCTTGCTGCATACAGGAGATTTTTATCTTTGCTAAGGGTTCATTTACTACCATATTTTCTATTAAAGCCTGTTACGATTTTGCTTGGCATAAATTTGCAATATATCATAACACTACGAACCCATCATGAGCAGAATTATGCGGCGCAATGCTGTGAAACGAATTTCGCCTATCGCTATCAAGTTCATAAGGTATTTTAAATTCAGTATGAGTGTGCCAGATAGCCAAAGTGTAGAACTGTTGTGAGAGGGTGGTGGCGGTCAATTGTTTGAGGGCACAAGCTCATCAGCCCGAAGGACGTGTGTTCGAATCCCAAAACTGCTGCCTAATTTTCCTCATTTTCTTTTTATGACAGCCCTTTGGTTGACCGGTTGGACCGCCTTGAAAATTGTTCTTATCAGTATATGTATACAATGACTGACTGTTCAGAAATTCAGCCCTGACAAGAAGTAACAGAGACAACACCACCGCTGTTAGAACAGAGCCACGTTCCTTGGTGTCTTTCACTAACCATTTAAGAGGTTTTTCTTGTACTCCAATCCAGAGGTTGGAAGATATTCACTCTACCTGATTTCTCACTACAGTTCTTAATTCCTCAGTTCTGCGTCATTTGTTATATGTGATTATCTCCACTTTTGAGTGGGGAATGCCAATAGAACGCAATAGGATAGATATACGCAATGCATGTCTTAAACAGCGGTGGTGGCCCGATGGTAACATCACCAAGTTTCATCCCGGCAGTCTTGTTCGAGTCCTCCACCACCGCCCAACTCTCTCATTCTCTCTGTGTTGTATGGGAACCATTTGATTGGCTGGTTTACCCTTCCTGAAAAATCGTATCTTTGTCTGTTCAGTAAAACGAAGTTAAATGAAAAAAAGAGAAAGAATAAAAGCCCATTTATCCAAATTTGGTGTGACAAGGAATTTCCTATGAAGTAATTTTGTCACGATTTATGACGCGCATCAAACAACATGGTCAATAAAAACATTTATCATTGAAATGTACTGTGGCTTTCATTTACGTTATTCTGTGAACCGTTTTTAATATCATTTATCTGTCATAAACTTGTTCTAGTACATTTTTCGTTCATTCTGTCACGTTGAACGCGCCTAATTGATTGACGTAAAATGTCCCTTCATGTTATGCTTATTTTCCCAGAGCCTTATGGAACAGCTTCGTGATCGTGAAATTGTTTACAGTGAATTAAATTCCATTGGTTCATCAATGCAATTGGAAAATCAGTCAGCTGCCGAGTTAGTTCAGGTAGGTGCCTCTTGGTTCAACACCATATACATACATATATATATATATGTATATGTATATATATATCTATATAATATGCCTTTTGGGTCCATAAAGCTGTGGTGATAGAATTCCTCTCTGACATTATTCCTAATGGATCCCCACAATCGGTTCAAGCACTAATCAGTTATGGGGCTAGCTGTCTCGGTTCTGTGTGCTACCGGTCGCTGTTGTTTCCCTTTAATTTCTTGTGACTCACATTCAACCGGATTGTTGAGCAGGGCTCGCTCCGGTCCGGTTGTCTGTTCCTCCTGATTGTTTACTGTTCGTCTCCGGCACGGAATAACTCGAAACATTATCCTGAAATCAACCATGTTTAGTGAGCGAACGAAATTACTCTTTATCCTTATTTCAGTTTTAGTATGCGAATCTAAATGCACTTTCTCCTAAAGCACTACTACTCTCGCTGCCACACAACATTCTACTGTATAGCAAGATTACCTTGATTTTTGAACTTCCCTCTTTGCTTTCAAGTCCTATTTGACCGCTTTGGATCGACATTGGTCTTGGTTCCTCCAGTTGATGGGATGCTTGGAAACGCGATTGGAACAAGTGAAACGCAGTCGAGAGTTCTACGGTGATGCTTCGCGCTGTGAGGCTGCACTGAATGCCAATTTGAGTCTGCTGTGTACAGAGTTCGGTCCGAATCAACAACCGCGGTCCTCGAAAGAGGCTAGCCAGATGAAGGTCAAACTTCAGGTTGGTTTCAAGATCTAAGATTTCGAACGAATCTGACATTGTGTCGTAATGAAGCACAATAGATTCTCACCATACGACATATTACCTCTGTTGCACAAGGCCTCCTGAAGTTACACAAAGGGAACTATGTCTTCAGCGATATGTTTCACACAGCGAGTTGCTCACAAAGCTCTCCGATACTGTGATTCACGTGAACTACGTTTCCCAATCAAATGAACATTATCCGGGGGTTGTGTGTAGCATGAATTTCGATTTTGTCGTTCAGAGTTATAATTGTTTTTTTCGATTTCTTTCTCTGTCTGTCAATCTTACGTCCTCATAATTTACGGTTTTAGAAGGTGGGACTGTTCAAATAGTTGTCTAATGGCTGCTGAACTGGGACATTTTAGGTAGTTGCATTTACGGGTTCCCAAACGAGTTGTGGTTTTCATGGTCGGAGAAGAGCATCTTTGGAAAAAATGATATTCACCTTGAACGACCAATCTGGATTCAAATCAGAAGCTACCCTGACTAACTCTGTACTGACTATTCCGTGGCCTGTTTAGTTTCAGTCATTGTTGGACTATGGTAGTGTTCTGTGTCATACACATTCAGTTGTCAAAAAATGAGTGATTGTGAGGCAGTATTATAGGTTTCATCATCATCTAGTCATAATTTCCATTGTTCATTTTCCTGATTCGTGGATTTTCTGAACTGAATTTATCTTTCTCATTTTCAGACTATTATTGCACAAGTTGCGGAACTGGAGTCCCAGGTGAACGTCATCGTTCAGACTAGTCAGGAAATTCTCCCGTCTGTGTTGGATAGATCGTCCTCACCAGGTCTGGTCGGGCCATCTCAAGCGACAAATGGGGCAACCGATAGACCAGTTGAGCACCCATTTCTGGGTCATTCAGTTCGCGCGATCTGTTGTTTCAAGTCTTCGGATTATTGGGTTGATAATCAACCAGCATCCAGTAAATTCGATGCCGTGGTCAACCCGGTAATAGGACACACCTATTGGCCTGCTGGTGAGGAACCGAGTGCATTTGAGAAAGGTGATCGATTGGTCGTCGTAGATACTGCAGACATAAGAGTCTGGAAGGTAGGTTTTGGTTTTGTAAATTTACCTCTTCTTCACTTTGCGCAGGTCTCATTTCCAACCGGTGATTTGTCTCAGTGGCTTTTTTTCCTATTCGATTTGTAGTAAATTTCCCATTTCATTGAAATGTGTATATTTTGATCGCGGGTTATGCAGCTTGTTTGTGAACAGGCATTCATGTCTAGACAACAATTGGGACCTTTCTTTTTATTGATTATAATCAATACAATTTATCATTTAATATCATCGTGTCAAATGCACCTCTGAAAAGCATCGTTGGCACTTCAGGACGTCCTAGGTACGATGGATATTCATTGCTGACGGGTCCTAGCAAGAAAAAAAGCAGCTGTTTGATAGCTACTGGGTATTTAAGAAGAATGTTCGATGCGTTGACATTATATGATTAATCTCGCTCTAATTAACTCTTCTGCTAATTAAAGAAATGCATACACATGTACGTTAGAACTCACGTAACTGTCATCAGAAGCAGCATAATGCGCATATAAACTGGCATTGTACTTCTTTCCCTGGACTTCAGTGATATGGACCGTGTGAAATGGATTTGAACTGCGAGTAAAGACTAAATCATTACGAAGATACCTCGACGTTTTCATCAGCTAGTTAGTATTATTCTTCTATCCACTGCAATACTCACTTNCATTCTATAAAACATCCTTCGTAGTGACCCTCTTAAACAATTTTCGAATATGCGGTTGCTGTTATATATATATATATATATATATATATAATTAGATAGAGGTGAATAGAGCTGATTTGCAACTGATAGTTGCTTTTGACTTGGTTTGTGGTTGTTAGTTGGACTGTGGTGATGCACTTTACCAAGTTGGAACATTCTTCAGTAATTGGTGTTACTGTATTATTAGTCTTTCAAATTTTGGCTCTGTTCGCAGGCCATGAAACTGCGGTTCAACCTGATTCTAATTAATACTCTTATAATTTAAGCCGCATAGAACTAGCATTTGGATTCTCAATTTTGGGCGTGGAAACGCGTTTACTATCTAAAACATCTATCTCCGTTAGATCGATGTATTTTCTTCGGCGACTGACAAACCGTTATCGTTTACTATATATCTTCTTACTCAGGTTCGAACCTCCGGCGGGACTTGTCTCATCATTCCAATTACATGTTTTCTCCCGTCGTGGCCATGTGTTCGGGCGACAGAATGCGCAAAGCAGTTGCTCTCTTTTCTCAATCATGTCAAATCATGTTGTTCGGTCGTGGAGTTGCATCTAGGAGGCCAGTTGCTTACAGTTACTATGGATGAGTGGCATCAACGCTTGGCTCATACTTCAACTGAAGATGCTGTACAAGTGGCCACGGTAAATATGTTCCGTTTACTCTCTCTTTTTTTTGTTCATGGTTATACTTTTTGGTTAACTTAGAACTCTCCTAATGTGTAGAGAGATTGCTAGTCTTATACCATGCTGCTTTGCGATCTCAATGATTTTTTTATTAGGTTAGAAGCTTGAAGACTAGTGACGATGCATAACTTATTCTGATTGTGATGTCGTCTTTCTTCTAGAGGAATGCATTTGTATCCTCTGTTTAAATTAAATAAATAAATCATTCTATCACGATAAAACGATTACAGAGTATTAGAAGAAGAAGGCCAACAATAATCCATGCATATTGGTAACCCACATCTAAAGTGCAAACCCCAATGCGTGTAGGACAACAAACATTTAGGTCGTGCACTCGAGACCTAGCTATCGATATCTAACAGACTACCATCCAATACTACGGTTCCATCTTCTGTTTGGTGTCCCTGCCCAACCAATCGGCGGAGTTTTGCTCAATCTCCCTGGGACCCTGAAGAGGAGGCTGCTGCTCCTGCTGTCTTTAGCCTTACTATCACTGGGGAGGCAAATTCGCGCTGCTACCTTTGATCCCAGTCGGTTGTGCGCACTGATACCCAGGTTTTTCTGCAACACAGGCTGTCACCGCCCCGATAGACGCAGCTTGTTTGTCGTCTCGGCCTACGCACCCATGGACAGTAGGGAAGACCTAGCCTAAGATATACTTTAGCAAAGACTGGACAACCTCTTACA